GGGGGAAAGGAAAAAATAAAAAAAGAAGTGCTTTTTGCAGCAGTCCCCGGTTGCTGAAAGTTCCCAGTGCCTGTAGGTTGGAGGGGGGACTGCTGCTTGCCGCAGCTCCGGCCAATTTGTTAAGAGACTAAAGCCAGCCCATTTTTGATAATTTAGTAGGAGGAGTCCTCTCCCTCGAGCCGCCGCTGATTTTTATTCAGACAACAAAGACCTGTCATAGTACTGCCCCCCCGCCCCGTGATGGGCGAGCGGTGACAAACATCCCGGCTGGGGAGGGGTGCGGGGCTCCCTCTTGCTAAGGAAGATGCACTGCGGGAGCTCCGATCCCTCCTCCCTGCCCCAGGCCCGCAGAGGAACAAGCGCGGGACACTCGGGGTGGCTGCTGGGGGAAGGGAAAAAGGAGACCCCTGGGTGCGGGGGGCTGAGATTGCGGGGCGGCTTTTCTGCACCCAGCGGGGCGGGCAGAGGCACTGGTGGGACTGGCAGGGCGGCCGGATCCAGGCTGGGGACCGCGGGGCACGCCCCGCCGCCAGCCTCGGGACCTCCTGTGCCCGGCTCCCTCCTCGCTGATCCGTCGGGCCCAGCCCCTGCGATCCCCAGCGCCCCGGGCACGGCGGGGCTCGGCTCCTCTCAGTGCCCCCGGCTCTGCTATTCGCTGCTGCTCTCAGTGCCCGGAGCATCCAACGCGATTTCACACAAAGATGAAGTCAATCAAGTGAAATAAGCCGGGGTTTCTATCCCCCCCTCTCCCCACAAAGCTGGCACACTACAGCCCAGCCGGCGGGGCTGCTATTTACTGTAAGTAATGTCATTAGCCCTCCTGGATGGAGATCAACTGGGGGGGCGGGGAGAGACAAGCCATTGAACATAAGGGAAAGGGGACCCCCCTGGCGAGGGGTAAGGCTGGTCCCGAACCGCCCCAGGCGGCACCCCCCAGTCCCAGGTGAACCAGTCAGCCCCAGCCCGCTCCTGCGGGGGGTCCCGCACATGCCCAGGCCCAAGCCCCGCGGGGAGGGCAGCGCCGCGCTTGGCCCGTGGGCCGGAGGCACGTGTGTCTGCGCCCCACCCCACAACTCGCGGCGCATTAGTCGCAGGCCGGGGATCGCGGCGCTTCCCCCGGCCGGGCGGCAACAAGCCCCCGTTCCAGGGTGTCCGCAGCTGCGTGGCTGGGGCGGGGCAGGAGGAGGGGGCTTTTACAACGGGGGAGACTCTGGAACCCGAGCGGCCGGGATCCCTTTGCTTTGGGTTTTCCCCTGCTCCTGTCTGTGTAGGGGCGCGGTCGGGATCTGCCCCGCT